ACCATATGGCTTCCTCCAAGCTGACAGGTCTAGACCGGCTCTCCGATGCCACCGCGTTGGCTTCATCTTTGCCAAGTTCTCCTCGTGGAATATTTTTCCAGGCGCAAGAAATGCTTCCCAGTGCGATTCCCTGCATGAACTTCTTGCTGGACAGTGAAAACACTACTAGCGGAACGAACTGCCCTGCAACCACACGATCAGAAGAGGTAGTCTCAAACGCGGTCGTTCGGCAGACTGGTGAGTATTGGCAGTCTACCCCATTGCACTGTTGTGCCTACCCTATATGGACTAACTGGAGTTCTCCAGCTATTGTCTGTCCAAACAATTTTAAGGTTACATTACGAAGAGGCCATAATACCAAATCAATCACTGTATGGCAGCCCCGGTGTTTGAACGAGAATCATCTCACCCGCTTGTGTAAAGGGAACCACGATAAACTTACTACTTAAGTAGCGCGTATTTTCCGCATGATTTACGATGCACGGGTCACCTTTAATATACGCTACGCTATGTCATATAGTCGTGGAAAATTATATCTTAGAGCGTCCTACTTCGTTTTCTTTTGGGTGGTGGTAGCATGACAATTATTGTCATTTAATGCTGTTTGAAGCAGATGCACCATGCTCGGCACCTAATAAAATATTATGTTAGCGATAGGAGGCCTCGTTAGGCATGTAGGATCATATGAGTTTGAAGCGAGTAAAAAATCTGAATGAATTCTGACGATGCATACCACTGAAGAGTTTTTGTGCATCTGTCTTATAGAATGTTATTAAATTTACGCACGCATTGGAAATAAGTGCGAAAAAATTGCACTTGATTTTTTGCTTTATTATAGGCTGGTTGGGATGGTATTGTTTGATGAACCAACATGCTACCTTATAAAATCTAGGGTTATGTTCGCTGAGTAGCAGTTTCATCTACCCATCTCTTCTATTTAAATGCTCGAAGGGTGGTTTCTTTCGTTCGTTGTTTCAGAAGTTTCGGTGTATACTGTAACTAGCAGTCCCTGACACTCAATAGTGGAGTTTTTTCACCCGATTTGAACTGATGATTAAGAAGCAGATGTGACATGACAGTTCCACCCCCTTTGGCGTCTGTATCCACAGTTGTAGACGCATGTGCGACTTTTCCTCACCCTGGCTCTGGCTTTGCGCATAAAAATCCCGGCGTTACGCAACTTTTGTAAATTAGGTTTTCTATGTACTGCGTTTTGGTTAATGTCCTGATGTTTTTCAAAACGCTAACTTTTCATGCTTTGGTTATGGGCGGCGGATCTAACACGTTTCATTCATTTTCAATCGGTGTAACATTGACCTCGAAATCGCGGAGCTAGGTTTTCGGCGGGCTTGTTCCGCATTTCTGTGGCAGATTGGAGTTAT